AAAAAAATTGCAAGGAGGAAGAAAGAAGTATGTATTCATAAGCACTCAACACAAACTGCTGCAGATTAAAACTGTTTGAGGCTAACTTAAGAACAAAAAGGCGAGCACACTGCTGACAACCACTAAATCTCACTGCAAACATCCAACGGAATCTTCCCTATTAGAGTACTTCAATTCAACGAAGTTGCAACTGCAACCGCAGAGTTTTGAAGAGCTTAGTGCTGGGCTGATGAGCTGTGCAGCATTCCTCCCTACGTGAACACTGCACAATTTAAACATTTCAATAACACTCCAGCTAAAAGCAGGTGTCTAGTGATTGTACTACTGCTGAGTTGGAGGTAAATTTAAATAAAGAATTAAGCTACTATGTCTCGGAAGATTAGTTGTTAGTTGACAGTTGAAGACATAAATTTGATTTTCCTAGAGGAGAAACTCCCAGCGGGGTCTGGTAAACAATCTGGCCATTCAAGACACTCACATAAAAGTACTTCAGAATCAGAGATCCTTTTAATCTCCAGCAGCTATTAACCAGTTGCACTGACTTACACCATGGGTTTCAAGAGCACTACTTCTGCATGGGTTATTATCAACCCTTAAGCAAGACTGCCATCATCAATAAATACATCACAGGATTATGCAGACCCTGTCTGAGAGCATACTGCACAAGCAAACATGAATAGGGAGACAAGAAAAACAGAGGCTGGGACTGCCCTGAGAACCCAGCCGCATCCCAGAAGGGCCCATCTGTGCTGCAGACAGAGGTGCTGCTGTGCCAGCAGGAAGACCTCAGAGACTCACCTGGAGCTAGGCAGACACATTGCACAGAGTGAAGCAGACTGTGGCCACCCTGACTCTAAAGGCAGGAAGACTACAGATCCAGATCTCAGATCTGGAACAAGTAGTTCTCCATAATATAATGGATGCTCTATCAGCCAAGGTGGGGGGGAAACCCCAAACCTGCAGATGCATTTGGTCCATTGCTATTAATGTCTCTGTCACTCCTGTGCATAACCATTTCCTGGCCATAGCAAATGCAACCCCAGGATTGGCACAGGAGTCATGCTTAACTAGCTCTTCTTTCCAGTTTTGATTTTTCTGTAACAGGAGAGTTTCCTTATTCATGTCTTTTAAAATTTAACTGAAGTTTAAGACTGACTGCATCACCTCATAACTAGAAGTAGGCTAGGGGCGCACACACTACTGACAGTTTATGGCAGCCTAACACATTTCAGACACACAGTAGAGTTACAGAGGCTTACGAAGTACCACCAAAGGTAAACTGCAAGAAGAACAGTTCACTTTATTTTTTAAATATCATTCTTATTTTTCTTGTCAATATGAGCCCCTAAGGAAAAGTACTGCTAGCCACAATTATTTTTCATCTCCACTTAACTTATTCTATGGGTTTGCACTGCCATGGGCAACTTCAAATATAAAGTTTTCCACCTCTTGAATATGAAGTATTTAGAAAAGTTCATTTGGCTGTTTCATTTCAATACAGCGTGTACTTAAGTGTTGCCTTCTGCCTCTAACCCAATTATTTCCCAATGCAGTGCAAGTCTGATCTTGTATTTATCACTTTCCAAATAACCTATAACATCAATGAAGCCAGCACAGAGAAGAATGAAAAGGAATTTATCTTTCAAGGAAGTTTCTGGTCCAGACATTCCTACTCTGTTTTCAAGAGTTTCTGTAGAAATACAACTTCACAAGATGTTAGAAAAGAACTATCCCGAATTTTGGTAGTATACATTTGTAAGTGGCCTCAATATAGCACTCTCATACCAAATGCAATTACAGTAATATAAATCAGTAGTATAAAGTCAAGTAGCTTGTCTTCCTTGGTTAATTTGCCTTAACTCATCCTGCTCTGGCTTGCCATTCCCCCACATACTCATTTTTGCCAACTCAGCTTGATCATGTAAAAGTTGATCTGTATTTTTCTTAGAACTCCCAATTCCTGCAGCCAAGAGAGTCACATTATCATTTAATAAGTTTCAATAGTTTTAACACCGCAAGTGTGAGAAAAGAGCTAGAGAACAGTGTTCTTCTACAAACTAAAAGGAGAAATAGAAATTAAATTTTTAAAGACACTCTTCTTGATTTAAAAGTTACTTCAAAGATTCAAGTCTGTTTAGGGAACTACATATACTCTACTTCTGTAGTACAGATTACAGGTTAGAAGAGAACACACTTACATTTCACTTTTCTATCCTACAAATATTGAAGGAAGATAAATACTCCAATAGGATCATCACATATTTTAATAGTGTAGCAGTCCATTTATCATTTGTTAGGGTTCAGGTCAACACACCATCAGTAAGCTGTCATTGTAAGAGATCACAGCCTTCTGACAAGAGAACGTTCCAGTGTAAATTAGTCTTACTCCTTCATGACTGTTTTACATAATTAATTACAAACTAGAAGCAGCAAAGACCATGTGGAGCCTTAACTGTGCAAAAAACTTCTCAACATGCCCACTATATCAGCTTTGTATTTGTCAGAATTAATAAGAACACATCAGTTACGCAAAAAAACCAAAACCCGCAATAATCAGAGTAGTAACATCTCAGTCCACATACACACAAATATCAAGCAGAAAATTAAATAGGAACCAAAATTTTTAAAAGGTCATCTAGAAGAATAGCACTTCCGCAGGGAAGGACCACAGCTTTATAGAGAAGCTAGTCTTACATCAGAACAAACCACTATAACCCACAACGGAGATGCAGGCACCCTGTCACTTGAAGTTTTCTGTCTACAAGGGGCCTCAAGGACTCGGGGAGGAAGGAAGCAGACAGCCAGACCAGATCATGCCACTCACCACATCTTCCCTGCCTACACCAAAGAAACTAAGGATATTTACTAGATGTAAAGCCTACTGTCAATTTATTCTGACAAAGCAGATCTGTGGACAACAGGCTAGGCTTCCCTAAGACTAAGTTAATCAAGCTTTACAACCCTTCTGACGGACACACAAGCCTCACATTACATCCTGTGGAAAAAGATTAAGCTACTACTAGAGAACCTTGAAGGTCAAAACTGCCCACA